TACAAAACCTGTGATTTTCCGGAACTAAAAAACCGGATTTTTTCCTGATTTTTGTCTTTTATTTTTTTTTACAGGGTGAATTTCGTAGTGTTCTGTAGGTGAAGAGTGCAGCAGGGATGTACACATCCCATTCATTTTTTAGAGTGATACAATATTTTTGCAGGACCATATATAGCGTTCGATTGAATCATTCTATTATTCTATTTGTTTGGGGGTGATAAGAGGAGGAGAATTTATGATGAATATTGAAAGATCACATTAGTTCAGCAATAACTGAAGCTGTAAATTCTGTTCCTTGGTTCGATTGAAGTTTCCTAGGACAACTGTGGTGACAAATAATGTCTTCAAAAATAAATTGAGCGATTGTGGATGCTTTTTTATTAGGTATGGCCCTTGCTTCTGGCCATTTGGTTAGGTAATCTATAGCTACAGCTATATAATGATTCTCTCTTGTAGTTATTTTACATGGTCCAACAAGGTCGATAACTATCCGGTCGAAGGGTTGTTCGATCTTGATTGGATATAGCGGTTATTTCATCTGACGTCCTCCTGTTCGTTGGCAAGTCTCACAGGACTTTACAAAGTTCCTGATATCAGTTCTCATGTTACACCACCAATATCTAATCGCGATTTGTTGGAATGTTTCTTCATATGCAAAATGTCCAGATAATGGATCTGCATGTAGATTTTTGATGATTGCATCGATTTTGGTTTCTTTGAGTACGCACAAAGAGTTGTTGGATTCTTTTCATCAGTTTATTTTATAAAGTCATCCGTCCTGAGTAAGAAAATGCTTTGCTTGATTTTTAATCTTTTTTTGTTGGTCTTCGTTGTATCCTGTCGGATAGCTTCCATCTATCAAGTATCGTAATAGGTCGAAGTAAGTAGTTAAGTCCATGTTTGTTGTTACTGTTATTATTATTTTTATTTTGATATTAATTTAAATTTTTTTGTCAGGTTTTGGATGCTCAATTTTGGTTCATTCGGGAAAGGGCATCTGCATTTTTGTTTAACTTTCCAGGGTGGTAACTAACTGTAAAAGTATATTCTAACATGGTCATGATCCATCGAGAAACTCGTGGTCCAGGATTAGTTTGCTTGGCGAACAACCATCGGAGGGCACTGTGATCCGTGATAATCTCGAATAGTGTTCCGAGCAAGTAGTGGCGGAATTGGCGTACTGCCCATACAATGGCTAATGCTTCTTTTTCAGTTACACTATACCATCGTTCTCTAGGCTTAAGTGAGACACTCGCGTAAGCGATTACGCGTTCTCGATTCTTATCATCTTTTTGTGATAGCACTGCTCCTAATCCGGTATCGGAGGCGTCTGTATATAAATAAAACTTCTGTGTAAAATCTGGATATATTAAGATCGGAGCTGAGGTGAGTCTTTTTTTGAGTTCTCCGAAAGCTTTTTCCTGTTCCTTTCCCCATGTGAATCTTATATCATTTTTTAGCAGACGAAATAAAGAGGCAGCGATTTGGGAGAAGCCTTTCACGAACTTCCTATAGTATCCGGCTAATCCAAGAAATGAACGAAGTGATTTAACTGTACATGGTTGTGGGAATTCCTGGATCTTCTTTACAGTGAAGGGGTCCGTCGAAATTCCTTCCTCGGTGATGATGTGGCCTAGGAAAGGTAGACTTTTTCTTACAAAATTACATTTTTTTAAGTTTAATTTAAGTCCGACTTTCCTGATCCGTTGGAACACTTGTTCTAGATGATGCAAGTGGTCTTCATAATTTTCGGAGTATATGTTGATGTCATCAATGTAAACCATCACATACTTCCAATTACAGTCACCTAACATCACATCCATTGGTCGTTGAAAAGTCGCGGGTGCGTTACAGAGACCGAATGGCATTATGAGAAACTCATAGAAACCTTCTCTGGAGATGAAAGCAGTTTTCTCGATGCTTTGTTCATTTATTTCGATTTGCCAGTATCCACTGGTCAGGTCTAGCGATGAATACCATTTTGCGTGATCCAAATTATCCAACATTTCATCGATCTTGGGTAAAGGGTATGCATCCTTTTTTGTAATATTATTAATCTTTCGATAATCTACGCAGAAATGCTTCTTCCCATCTTTTTTGTTAACTATGACTACAGACGAAGCCCACGGACTGTTGGATTGTCGTATGATTCCTGCGTTTAGCATTCTTTGTACTTCTTCACGTATGAATTCCTGATTTGGTAACGTGGCTCGATAGCTTCTTTGTCGGATTGGCCTTTCATCATTAGTATCGATCTGGTGCTGTACAAGATTTGTTCGACCCAAGTCGGTCATATCGGCAGCAAAGATATCCTGATATGTCTTTAACAATTTTTTTAGTTTTTCCGTTTGTTGTTGTGTTAATATTCTTTGTTCTATTATTTTTTTACTTTGATCTTTATCGAGGAAGTAGATTTCTAATTCATCGCGGCCTGTGGAACCAAATCTGGCACTTTCTCGACTTGATTTTTGCAATTCTTGTCTTGTCGTGACCTCTCGTATTCCAGTAATATCAGCTAATCTAAGAAATACGACCTGAACTACCCGCTCCTTGAGTTGAATGTCGTATGGTTGGGTCGAATTATTATATAATAGTACTCCTATGTTTCCTGTATATCCTGCATCTATAGTTCCACCTTTTACTTCGATTCTGCGTTTAGCTAAAGACGATCGGGACATCAGTTGACAAACGGTTCCTGCAGGGATTTCAAAGGCAACTTAAAGATCAATTAGAACTGTTTGTTGTGGGTTAATACGAATAGTCTGTCCTTCGGAATACCATAGGTCGAAACCAGCATCGGTAATGTGTGCTCGTTCGAGCATTCTCCCTTTTCCTTCGTTGATATAGACTTTCACTAGATAATTATTGCTTTTGGTAAGTTCAGTTGGTTTCTTGTGATCTTTCATATCAAATTTTTCGTTCGTTTTTGTTTTAGTTATTCAACTACTTGAATTGCTGCTAGCATCATATTCTGTTGTTTGGATTATTTTTCTGACGTTGTCGGGTTGGATTTCACTTCCTTCCCCGAATTCGTCAGTTGTCAAATTAAATTTGACTTTCTTCTGGTTGTCTTGTTCGACTGTTCTCGAGTCTTGCCAGCAGTCGTCGCATTGTTCGAGATCACATGGGATCAAACAATCAGAACAAAGTCTGACATTAATATATTCTAATCGGGCCAGCTGGAGACGTCGTATGTGAGATAATTGTTGATATATTGAAGTAAAGATCTCGGTCGCGGAGGCTTCCTCGGATCTGTTATAATTGATGTATTGTATTTCGTTTTCTATATCGTACTCGGTAATATAACGGGATAGAATCGCTTTCCCAATCTCGTTACACTCTTGGTACACTATTAGTAGATTCTCTTCGTTTCGTAGTTTTCGGATTGTGTTGTTATTTCTTCTCCAGCCGCCGTGATTGAACATGTAGACACATTGTTCTAGATAAGTACAAAAATACTTTGTTGGACTGTAACTACCGATTTCATACAGTTCGGCGACAGGGGCGTGATGTCCACATTGAGCACATACTGGTAAGTTCAGTCTAAGGATGGTTGCCAAAATGACGTCATCTAATTAAATAATTTGCTGAAATTAACTTGCTGAAATTAAATCTGAAATTATTATGACTTATTTTATTAGTAGCCGAAATTGTTTTCCGAAATTATTTGGATTCTACAAATCAAAACAAGCATTTCTAGGTGGTTTTTAAGTATTCATTAATATAAGCAACATAGCAAAACTGAATTATTTGTCGAAATACCATTTTTTCCAAAAATAATTTAGGAGATCATCTTTAGTTCAGTCTTCCCTTTTCAATACAGTCTTGACAATATGTATTTCTTGAACTGTCTTGTTCAAAAACCATCCCTGTCATTAGTTCATCAGCAAAATATTTGCAGCCGTGACATTGGGTAGTCCTTCTTTTGTGTTGGAGATATATGAGAGCGGCTTCCTGGGTTTGGAATTTAGTTTTGGTGGGGGAAATACTATCAGAAAGTCGTTGGTACTCCACCTCCATCCACCAGTCTTTAGTTGGACCTTCGTCGAGGATCATTGATATGTTATTGGGAATTTAGAGTTTCACATTGATCCAGATAATTAATTCTTGGTAACATTTTTGACATTCTTTAGTAGCCGCAAGTCTTTGTCGGCACCAACAATTGGCCGGTCCTTTCCAATCGAATTTCCATCGGGAGTTTTGATAAGGAGTTTGGTTGAACTTTGCCTATAAACGAGTGTACTTATCCCAAGTGAGTGTATCATTTCTTATTTTAATTCCTTCTTTATATATTTGTAATTTGTTTATTTTTGGTACTTCCTGGATTACATGACGAGGGACCTTTCCGAAATTGATTTCGTTGATTGTTCGGATGGGTATCAGAATCTTAGTCCAGAGATCGTCAGAGCGCCAGCATAAAAAATTTCGATCTTCCAGTTGTTGTTCTTCAATTTCATAATCACTTTGGGTCGATTTGTCGTCAGATAACTCAGAGTCACTGGTGTCGGTTTTCATATTGATTTGGTTCTTTTGCCCATGAATATATTTGATGGCGACTTTTCCTTTCCGTCCTTCCCATTCAAGCGTCATTATTCCTTTCTTGATGTCAATATTCACGTTTACTTTATTCAACCAATCCATTCTGACCAGTACACTGAAGGTTCTTGCTTCGGTCACGTCGACTTCAGCTGGGATTGTAATCTCATCGATAGTGATCGGGAAGTCGTCGATTGCTCCGAGAGGTTGTTTTGATAACCCGTTGATGTCCGTCATGGTAATATTCGATTTCCTTTGGATCTTTATGTTCTGTTTTTGTAGGAAGTCATGGCTAACTACACATCTTGAGGCTCCAGTGTCGATGATAAGGTCAATAGGCGTTGTTCTGATCTTGGTCTCACACCAGGTTGAGGTGGTTTTCTTATTAATATGTCCTACCATTCCAGTAGTTTTTCTTATGACTTTTCTTTTTATAGGTCGTCGCATTCCTTTCGACATTTTGATCCGTTGTTCTGGGGAAGTCTTAATAAGTTGGGCGATTATTATGTTAGCCTTAATGGTGACAAGGTCCTCCAGTATGTCGTAGGGAACTGCGCGCGAGGCTAATACGGGTAATTCTACCCTGTTTTTCTTTTTCTTTTTCTTCTCCTCGGGTTTATTCTCAATTGGATTTTGATTGACATTTTGTTTATTAGATACATTGTCTTGCTTAATGATTTGATCTGTATCATCTTGCGGATTATTTCCTCGTTCTAGCCTTGTTCGTTTCCTTCCTGCCATATATTCATGCGTGGCCAGTAACGATGTTGTTGCACCTGAAGTATTAGTTTGGGAGTTCTGAGCTGCTTGTAAAGTAGTTGCCAATGCTTGGATTTGTGATAGAAGCATAGTTGTGTTGGTCGAATCATTATTGTTTGTTGTTGGGACTTGGTTTGTAATTACTTTGTTTGATTCGAAGGAAGCGTTATTCTCGAATGCCGGATTTATATTATACATTGGTCGCGAGTTTGGACGACCATTTATTCGATTGTTACTGTTGTTTGACACATTTGTACAGTGTTAGGATATGTGACCGGGTTGATCACATCGGTAGCAAACCAGGCGATTAGTAGAATTTTGTTGATTATGGCTCCGCTCATATGTTCTTGGTGAGTATGTTGGTTTTCTAATGATTTCTGTTTGTTCTAATTTACTGATCAGGATTTGGAGCGTTTGATTGAGAGCATTCAGATCGGTTGAAGGTATTGATTGGAGTTGATGATAATTTTTAGTCGATCCTTCTGTATCAGCTTCTTCGATAGTTTTGGCCACTTCCACGACGTTATCCCATGTTCCGTTTGAATTTATGTGGACCCACCTCCTAATCTCCGGGTTGAGTCCTCGTTTGTATGCGCGGGTCTTGTAGTCTGCCAGATAATGGTCATCAGGATCAACTTTCTTTAAGAGTTGAACGAATCGATTGGTGTATTCTTCCATGGTTCCTTCTTGCTTTAGCACTTCTAACTCTTCCTGCCATTGTTCTACTTTCCTGTTCGTTCAAAATTTTGAGGTGAATTGATGCTTGAAGTCATGTTCATCGTGGTTTTGGTTCGTCCAATCATTTAGTCGTAGGTTGTCGTTAGTATTCCTTTGATCGAACCAGACGGTAGCAGTTCCTTCAAGATATCCTCATACAACCTGAATTTTCCTTTCGTTGGTGATTCCATTAGCGCGAGCGGCAATTTCAAAATCGTGAAGCCACTCTATCGGATCTTGATTTTCACCTCAGAATTTTTTTATCGGAATAAGAATCTTCTCTGGTCGTCGAGTTATTCCTGCATTCATTGCACCGGTGAGCGCTGTCAAGGCTTGGATAAGAGCGTTCATATCGTTTTCCATTTTGTCGTCTTTTTCGTTTATTGACTTTTGATCCTGATAGTCATCTGTTTCAGAATTTTCTTTGCTTCGTACGATGATTCGTTCACGGCTAGCTTCACTGCTAGTTTCTGTATCCAATTTGTTTTACAAGCAGCTTGTTAGGGTAATGTTTCTTTCGTTGAGTGGTTTTATCGAACCAGAAATTCCACAGAGGGGGTACCAAAAATGTTGCAAGTGGATCGTAATTAGGCGTAATTAACGATTTTACCTACAATAATTGGGGAAGGAAGAAAGTGTATAGACTAATTTGTACTCATTCGTTATCTAATTCCTGTGCTGATATCTACGGATATCGTCGGGTTTGGTAATATTAGAGGGATTTTATGAGGATTT